TATATATAAAGATGTTTTAAGCCCTTCCCTCACTCTTGCAATATTCTAAACAATGTTTCTAAACTCTAAAGGCTCTAAAAGAGTACAGCGTGTCATGATTTCAGCTCTCTGCCTCAGCTGCACTCTGGCCACGCCCACTTCTCCACAGCAGATCAGAGATCAGCTGCAGGAGGGAGCACTGGAGCTGTGGGCTGCACAAGGGTGCAGCAGGTGCTAAATAATTTAAGGTAATTTATTTAAAATAAAAAAAATGGCTCATCCATCAATCAGCCAATTGTGTGTCAGGTCCGATCTTATTTTGAAAACCTGAGATAGAGAGAGTCTGCAACAAACGAACTGTGATTAGCGAGGGACTACTGTAGCTCATAATAATCTAAAGCAACATCACAGACTCCTCTGTCTGTGTTGTTATCCACTGTAACAATGCTCTGCTAATGGCAGCCATTCTTCTTTGACATCACTTCCTGTTAGTGCTCATGCGAGTATCTCAACTGTTCATCTCAGTAGAGTGATTTTTTTTTTTTTTTTTTTTTTTTGGGCAAAGCATTTTTGGATTAGTATTTTTTTTACAGAAATAATTTATGTCACAGGCACTGAAAATAAATATAACAGTAACGGAGCCAAATGAAACATTGGGTGACTTCAGAGCTTAACTAGCAGTGCCTCTTCATCAGATGTTTACCTTCCTCAGTAAATGTCATCACAGCGGGTTGAGGATTTGCCATGGAGTGTCATAAGTTTACAGCTTTGAATTCAGGATAAGTTTAAAAAAAAAAAATTGGGTTGATTTTTGTTTGTTTTGTTTTTGTATTTGGCCTTTTTATACTTCACAACAATACCTGTGCTGCATTATAGCTGGATTGTTAAACTCAAGGCAACACTTTCCTGTTTCAGAATTAACCAAGAGGAATGATGTTGCTCATAATATTACTGTGCATATCTCCAGACCAGGATAAAAAAAAAATACTTAAAATACATTAAGCACAACACTAAACATGTTTTTAATTCTGTCAGAAACCTAATGCATAATAGGTGGGGGTTAAAAAAAAAATCAGCAAGTCCATTAATAAATACATAATAAAAAATACAAGTATTTAACCTGTTTCTTCTGCCACTGGTCTTTAGGGTATTCAGCATTTTGTTGGTTTAATAAAGGTTAAATAAAATTTAACGCTTGTTTCCAATCCATTTCCAGATTATTATCATAATTAGTATATGGTAGTATTATATGTTAGTATGTATTCACAAGAATACCTGTGCTGTGTTATAACTGGATTGTTAAATTATGGTAATTATAATTGAGGAAGAATGGCTGGAAAACAATTTCACATATTCTGATTCATGCTCAACGTTTCAACAATATTTTTTTCTCCGTCCAGAGGACCTGACTTAACGTTGAATCTCACATATTCATTATCTTAAAATATGTTTTCATCTTAAGCCACCAGTGGTCATGAATATGAATGAAAGGCCACAGCCCGGCTCTGGTAGAGCTAAAAATACTGACAAAGTTAAATTATGGACATATTAAAAAAAAAAAAATTTAAGTTGATATGTTTCTTTTTGGGCAGCACGGTGGTGCAAATGGTAGAGCTGCTGCCTCTCAGCGAGCAGGTCCTTGGTTCAAACCCTGGTCCGGGGGCCTTTCTGGGTGGAGTTTGCATGTTCTCTCCGTGCATGTGTGGTTTTTCTCCAGGTACTCCAGTTTCCTCCCACAGACCAAAAACATGCATGTTAGGCTGATTGGTAACTCTAAATTGTCTCTAGTTGTGAGTGAGAGAGTGATTGGTCGTTTGTCTCTATGTGTCCCTGTGATGGACTTGCGACCCATCCAGCGTGTACCCCGCCCCTCGCACATTGATTGCTGGACATGGACACCGGCGACCCCCGTGACCCAAAATGGAAGAAGTGGGTAAAGATAATGGATGGATGAATGAATGGAAGGATGGATGGATGGATGAATGAATGGATGGACAAACTTTCTAGATTTTATAGATGGTTCATAAATAGTTTATAGATGCATTATTAATTATTATATGAACACTTTATGAATCAGTAATCGTTTATTAAGCTTTAATTAAGGGTGACAGAGACAAAACTGACCAGTTTGTTGCCAAATAGGTTCACTTATATATTTCATCTGGAGTTGTTATATTTAACATTTCACACTAAGTTACTATTTTGTTAGCACAATAAGCATTTGTAATTTGTAAACCTATGTTTTAGGATATAATATTAGTTGTAGATACTTATAATGCAGTGATAAAGTAAAACATTATATCCTAAAAAAATTGGCTCACTATTTGGCAAGAAACATCAGTTTTATCTCTCTTGTCACCCTTAATTAATGCATAATAAGCAGTTGTCAATGATGTATAAGGTGAATTTATAACATATCTATAAACTATGATTTAACCATAGCTTTATTGTAAAGTGGTGACAATATTTTTTTTACTATTTGTAGTGGTAGTAATGATCTAAAAGAGTGAACATAATACAAACACTGTACACATGATATTTAAAAAGATATTAATAAAATAAAAATAATGGGAGTCCAATCTGCAGTATTCATGAAAAACAACTTTGCGTTTTGCTCAGAAATATTTTGATCTCTGTCAAATTACAGAGGAGCAGCACCAATGCTCAAGAGAACTAAACTACAAACTGCTCCCAACTAAAAGGAGAGGGGAGGATTTTATGATCCAGCCTCCAGGTAGCTGTTACAGACATGATGTAACAGAGCCGTTCATGAGCTGTTCTCATAGCATCTGTATAAAATGATCATTTTTCTTGGAAATGCAATTAGCTGCAGCCAAAACAAAAACAACTCATGCACACAGAAATAAATCCCCCACACAGGTGATACAAGAACTCTCCTGTTGGATGCCAGAACCACAACACGTCTATATAAAGGTAGAAATTCCAGGAAATAAGCAGGAATAAAAGTGGGTGTCAAGTTGACACCTACCATGGCATCACCGGTGGATTATGTGTTTTACGAACTGCTTTTCATATTGAACAATCACTGAGAGGATCACCTCAGGAGCGTTGAGTTCATCTGTCAGTAGATGTAACGAATACATAAACTTGAGGGTAGGCTTGAATCAAATGACTCTTTTTAGACCTTTTAATGTCAGTTTCCTCTATTACTGCTACAGGGCCTCTTTCGGAACACACCCACTTTACTGGGAAATTTACAATGTAGCCTGCATACCACAGAGCAAAAAAAGGCAAATTCCATGAAAATTGTTACTAAGAACGAGCGTGTGTATACAGATCTGAACCTAAGGGTTTAGTGTACTGTTTCAGGTAACTGAAGTGGAAAAACCCTGACATTAATGAATAAACCCATACAAGGTTGTCCAGTTCAAATTTGAATCCCGTTTCCATAATCCTGTTTCTTTATCAAAGTTTGACCAGTTATTTAAACCATTTGCACCAAATAATACAAATAAAAATGGCTGTCATTGTGTAGGAAGCTGCACGGTGAGGAACAAGTGTCTGTCTACAAGAGGGCTGTCACTGTGCACTAAAGACTGAATAAATCATAAATGTTTAATGATTAACAGATGGAGCGACGGTGTCCTTGTCATTGTTGAACATGGGATTGGGCGCTATTTTAAACCTGAATATATGTGAAACAAATATTAACTGAAGTGCTACAAGTTTTCACTTCCAGCCTCACAAGATGTTAACGGGAAAACCTTCGATTTGTTATAGTGCAGACAGGAACAAGTCCAATCAAGTCAGTTTTATTTGCAAAGCGCATTTAAAACAGCAGCTGCCACCAAAGTGCTTAACCAAAAGATCAAGGCAATAATTAAAGAAAAATATATTAAGATGTAATTAAAAGCATCAAAAAATAAAAACAATGAGAAACAATGAAATATTAAATCATATCACACTGTGTTAAACGTCAGTGAGAACAGATGTGTTTTCAAAAGAGATTTAAAAACAGGAAGTGAAGTGGTCTGTCTAATGTTGATGGTCAGATTGTTCCAGCGTTTAGGGTCAATGACAGAAAAAGCCCGATCTCCTCTGAGCTTCAGCCAAAAGCAGCTGGTCAGATGATCTCAGCACCCGAGAAGGAACATATGGTTGAAGCAGGTCAGAGAGATAAGAGGGTGCAAGGTTATTAATGCACTTACATGTCAACAGGAGAGTTTTAAAATCTATTCTGATATGCACAAGGAGCCAGTGAAGGGAGGTACAAAATGGGTGAAATATGATCAAAC